ATACTCTTCTATAGGTCCAGAGTTCAATTCCTATAAACCACATAGTGACTCACAATCATCTGTAATGAGATCTGGTACCCTCTTCTAGTCTGTAGGCATACATGTAGCCAGAACACTGTATATATAATAAATATATAAATCTTTTAAAAAATTAACTTAATAATAGAACAGAGTTGATTTTGCACATTCTCTTGGCCAAAGGATGTCTTGGAGGCAGCTCACACAAAAGACTTCATCTTTTTTTTTTCCTTTTGTTAACCAGGGAAATTTCAAAATCACATTGCAATGGTATGTGGATACAGAAGTTAAAAGTTGTGGTCATTTTTTTGCAAGGCATCACAGTCATGGAGAACCATTGCAACATTTCAAATGGAGAATTGATGTATGTGAACATAGGTTATAGACGGCACTTTTACAGGACTCTGAAAGCAGAGTAACTAGGACAAAAAGATAAATGAGAAGTCCTATTTCTAACCTGATAATGAGATGAGTATCTGAAGAACATGAGATGTGGCGACTTTGAATGGTAAAGAGCACAACACCAAGGAACTACATGCTGATGAATGTAGAGCTCCAGGGATTAAGGGGTCCAAGAACTACAGTGTAACTTTCATATTCTGATGATATAAACTCAGCAACCATGAAGATATTCAAAGAGGTAGACAATCTAGGATAAGTTATAGGTTTAAGTTGGCACGTGTTGATTTCAGTTTGGGGCTTATTGAGGCTAACCTAATATGTTTGTGTTTAGTGAGCACAAATTCCAGCACATACAGGCAGCAGGCAAGACCATAGCAATACATGGCATCACTCGGGAAGATTTTGTATGAGGAGGAAGCATCATGACAAGATTGTAGGAAGTGTTACATTTTAAAGGGTGGATGGAGGGAGAAGAGATTATAAAAAACAACAAGAAGTGATGGCAAAAAAAATGGTGATGCAAATGCAGGATGGAGCAATGTGTTAAGAGCTGGGGAGGAGGAGAACTGGGTTGAGTCCAATAGCAAGATGGCTAACTAATAATCCTGGGGTATTATTGATGATCCATTTCAAACCTAGTGTGAGTGAAATGGAGGAAGCCAAAGTGGTGGGATAAGGAGGACAAGACTCAGGGAGGAAAGTGAACAAATTCAGTTCTAGAGAGAAGCCAGTCAGCTGTAAACTGGAAGGGAATGAGCGTGTGCGTGGAGGAGTAAGCTGATCCAAATGAGGAGAGTTTAAGGAAGAAAACAATGCTCCATAGATACATGTTGAGTTCTTTTTTTATTTCCTATTCTAAAATAAGCTAGAGCTACTCAGAATCAGCTAACCCCCTTACCTCCCAAAGACAAGGCAGTTTACATCCTTAAATACAAATATCTCTGTCTGCTTCATCTCCCCCAGGAGTTAGCGTTTTCATCTCATGTTAACATGGAAGGGTATGGCTCACTCCCTTTAGAGTCATGGTCTTTCTGGAGTCCTGGAAGTACCTGTGGTTTCAAATAGGAGGCTGAGGACTACATTGGCTGTGGGGTGATGGGAATCTTAGGCTCTGTCTACTTATGTAATTGGGACTTGGTAGATCTTTGCACCAGTAAGTAGACAGTCAAAGCCATAATATTTTCATGAAAATGAGTGGTTTTGTTTCTGGTGTTTTTTTTTTACAGTTTATTTTCAAAAATACTCTCAACTTCTTGAAGAAAAAAAAGTTACAAAAAATATAACTTACACAGAATTGAGCTGCACAAAAGACTATTCACCCATAGAAGGTAAGAATTAATATGCCTCAGAGCTTTGTTGCTGGCTATAGGGTGTAATGGTTCC